ACATGTATCCCTGTTCTGATAATTGTATCGGTGTTTGTTCGGTTTAGGCGACAAGTACATCAATGGAGAGATTATCCCGTGCACATACCCGACATACCAACCAAAGCAGCGCAATAACACGAAGTATCAAAGTAAGAGGTACGAAAGACGAAGAGACGGTCCACCTCCTGAGAAGCAGAGGAAACCAAGACAAGAACCAGCGGCTTCTGATTCCTCTTAAACGATGACCGTTGTAATGCAGTGTGTACGATTTTGATTGATCGGTTAGTCCTTAGCTTATATTAAAAGTCAGATATGTAAGATCGTCTAGTATCAATGATGACACTAAATCACCATATCTTCTTGGAACAATATCTATGGTTATTTAGAATGAACTTCAACTTTTAAGTTCTTCTTTGGATAGTGAGGGATTCGGTTCGGTCTGGTTAATTCAGAAATATCGGTTCGGTCTGGTTTGTTCACATTGTCCACCACTCGTTTTCTCACGTTTTCTTAATTCATTTTTCAGACAAGACAAGCAATTGCGTCTAGACAACTTTTTAGGTAGGGTCGCTATACACTCGTCACTATCTACATCAGTCGTCCCTACCTTATCAACACATCACATGGAATAATACACCACACCGACTTTAAAACCAAACATTTCAAATCACTTTAATAATATCTTCACCACATAACTCGACTCAAATCTTTCTTCTTTCACCAACCTTCAAAGCTCTCTGAGAATCAAATCTCAAGATGGCAAATTTCTATGAGCATTATTACCAGAGCCCTTACGATTTCAATCAGGTTAATAATAATCTCTACGATCATTATCAACAAGAAGAGATTGCTTTTGATCCAACGAGTTATTATAATAATTATTATAACTGGAATGGATCTGAGTATACTGATGAGACAAGCTCTGCATCTGTTGCTTACTCTGTTTCCACCATGTCTGAGTCCAAACACTTGTTCTATGATCCGAATTATTACACAACCTATGAATCTCCTCCTCAGTTTAGTATCTATTGCTCTGTTCAAGGCTTCAACGAGCCTGAATTCGACGATTACGATCCGACGCCGTACGGTGGTGGCTACGATATCGTTGCGACTTATGGTAAACCTCTTCCTCAATCGGTGGAAACTTGTTACCCTTCTTCAACCTCTGCTCAAGCAAAACCTCCTTCTCCTCCTGAGATTATCACTCCTGTTCCTCTTGGAATTTATGATGGTGGTGAGAAAAATGTTGTCAAGAAACGTGTAACTTTCTCTGAACCTTTAGAAGCCAAACCATTGGAACCCATCAAA